CCTCTCTCACACCTCCCCTGCCTGGCCTGTCTGCTGTGTGATCTGCCTCCTCCCGTCCCCCAGAACCTCCGACTGCCTCTGTCACCTCTGCAAACACACACTTGCCTTCCTTTCCTGGCACTCCACACCTCCCTCCCCCACTCTACTATTACCTCTTGGAGGACCCGGTCTGCTTTTTGTACAATGAATTCCAGGCACACGGCAAAAGCCAAATGCTCAGGGCTCCGCATGAGGTTTCTCCCGACTCCGAGCCCAGCTGCCCGCCAGTGCTGATCTGGGAGACAGCGGAATTCCTGCCACTGAGGGGGAGACCGCACAGAGGTCCAGGGTCCAGTCTTGGTCACGATACTCGTTTGGGGAGAGAACCAGTGCATGAGAGCTAGCTGGGTCTATAACACAAAGATTTTTAAAACGTGTAAGGGGCAGGTATCGTGGCACAGCACGTGAAGCGACTGCTGGCACACCAGTATCCCACTTCTGAGTGCTGGTTCAAGTTCCAGCTGCCCCCTGGCTCCTGCTCCAGCTCCCTGCTGGCACCCTGGAGGGAGGCCCGCATGGGAGACCCACCTGGAGGCCAGCCTCCTGGCTCCTGCTTCAGCTCCCTGCTGGCACCCTGGAGGGAGGCCCGCATGGGAGGCCCGCATGGGAGACCCGCCTGGAGGCCAGCCTCCTGGCTTTAACCTGCTCTTCCTCCGGCTGCTGCGGACATGTGTAGAGGAACCAAGGCATAAAACACCAAGTAACTGCTCAATCTCTCTCATTCACTATGTTTTTCAAATATATGAAAGCAAACTTTTAAGAAATGACTCTTACTGGTTTCCTTTTTTTAAAGATCTTTTTTTTTTTGGAAAGGCAGACATACAGAGAGAAGACGATACAGAGAAAAAGATCTTCCGTCCACTGGTTCACTCCCCAAGTGGTCACAATGACTGGAGCTGAGCTGATCTGAAGCCAGGAGCCAGGAGCCAGGAGCCAGGGGCTTCTTTCGGGTCTCCTACATGAGCACAGGGTTCCAAGGCTTTGGGCCGCCCTCTGCTGCTTTCCCAGGCCACAGGCAGCGAGCTGGATGGAAGTGGAGCAGCTGGGACTCGAACCAACACCCGTATGGGATCCTGGCACATGCAAGGTGAGGACTTTAGCCACTACGTTACTGCACTACGCCAACTGGTTTCCTTTTTTAAAAAAAGTATGGTGAGGGGCCAGCACTGTGGGGCCACCCATGATACTGGCTTCTCATGTGAAATAGGTTCAAGCCCCAGATGTTCCACTTCCGGTCCAGCTCCCTGCCAATGCACCTGGGAAAACAGAGGAAGTTGGAGCAGGCCCACACGGTGGAGGGAGACCTGGAAGAAGTTCCTGGCTCCTCGCTCTGGTCTACCCAGGCCTGGAGTATGTGGCCATTTGGGGAGTGAACCAGCAGATGAAGATCTGTTTCCCTCCCTGTCATTTCAAATAAAGAACTAAATCTTAGGGGAAAAGAAAAAGAAAAAGAAAGTCACAGCAAAGATTTGAGTCTCATATGCAAGTGTGATTTCCATGGACTACCTGGTAGGACCAGGCTCCGACAGGACGGGGCAGCAGGCTTGCTTCCTGTCAGGGTGGACAGCACCTGGAGCTCCTGGCTCTGCCATGAGGCTGGCAAGCAGGCAGGGTCCCACCCTTCTCGGAGTGAGTCTCAGGAGAATGGAAAGAAGCTACCCGTCACGCCCTGCCGCTGCTTTCTTGGGAAAGGAATGAGAGTTCTGGCCGCTGGGGTTAGAGACTGCAGAAAAGGCTCCCGGGGCCCAGGTGCTGGGGGCTGGCCTCTCACAGGGCCTGCTCCAACAGCTCGCCACAGCTGACGCGGGGAAGCTTGCTGGGCCCACAGATCTTTCTGCAGGGAAATCCTTCCATGTGCAGCAGGGCCAAGGTGGTCTCCCCATGCCCGTGTCCATGCAAGGCACTCACCAGACACCCAAGGGAAATGGCTTTTTTTTTTTTTTTTTAAAGATTTATTTTTATTATTTTTTCATTGGAAAGGCGGATATACAGAGAGGAGAGACAGAGAGGAAGATCTTCCGTCCGATGATTCACTCCCCAAGTGAGCGCAACGGGCCGATACTATGCCAATCCGAAGCCAAGAGCCTCTTCCGGGTCTCCCACGCGGGTGCAGGGTCCCAAAGCTTTGGGCCGTCCTCGACTGCTTTCCCAGGCCACAGGCAGGGAGCTGGAAGGGAAGCGGGGCTGCCGGGATTAGAACCGGCACCCATATGGGATCCCGGGCGTGCTAGGCGAGGACTTAGCCACTTGCGCCACCGCGCCGGGCCCGGGAAATGGCTTTTAAACATTTGTTATTGTTTATCTAAAAATTTAAAAACAAAGGATGGTGAGAAACACATGGAAGGAGGCGTGGCAGGTGGCACGTGGCAGGAGGGTGGCACTCAGTATTATCACTGTCACAGTTCAAGGAGGTGGCCCGGGCCACACAGCCCCACCATGTTGCCATAAGAAGGACAATCTCCACATGGAGTTGGCCGGCTGGGCTCCAAGAGGTCAAGGCCAAGGTCACCAAGGCCCGGGCCCCCCAGCTGCTTCCCTTCCCATCCAGCTTCCTGCTTGTGGCCTGTGAAAGCAACAAAGGATGGCCTTACCCTTGGGCCCCTGTGGCCCTCTGGACACACCAGCTGTGCCCTTCCTCTGTGGCCCTCTGGACACAGCCAGCTGTGCCCTTCCTCTGCGGCCATCTGGACACGGCCAGCTGTGCCCTTCCTCTGCAGCCATCTGGACACGGCCAGCTGTGCCCTTCCTCTGTGGCCCTCTGGACATGGCCAGCTGTGCCCTTCCTCTGCGGCCCTCTGGACACGGCCAGTGTGCCCCTCCTCTGCAGCCCTCTGGACACGGCCAGTGTGCCCCTCCTCTGCAGCCCTCTGGACACACCAGCTGTGCCCTCCTCTGCAGCCCCCTGGACACGCCAGCTGTGCCCTTCCTCTGTGGCCCTCTGGACACAGCCAGCTGTGCCCCTCCTCTGCAGCCCTCTGGACACACCAGCTGTGCCCTCCTCTGCAGCCCTCTGGACACACCAGCTGTGCCCTCCTCTGCAGCCCTCTGGACACACCAGCTGTGCCCTCCTCTGTGGCCCTCTGGACACGGCCAGCTGTGCCCTTCCTCTGCCCCACAGTTCCTGCTGGCAAGCTCCCTCTCTTCCTTCAAGCACCTCCCTGCAGCCAAAGATCCTCCAATCATCACTCTGAGAGCGTCATCAAGGGGCTACACAGAGCAAGCAGTGCACAGCCCATGCCGAAGACACCTTCCAGAAGGTGCTCACAGCACCTGAAGCCCTTTACCGGAAACCAGCCCCGTGGAGGAACAGCACCATGTGGGCATGCTGCTGGATTCAGACAAATGCTGCCACGCCAGGCTGGGCCAGAGGACCCCCGACATGCCCTCACTTCTCTGCATTGGCAGGAGGAGCCCCCCACCATCAAATCAGCGAATTTCCTCTGAGGCATCGATTCGGTGGCAGCATTTACAACCAAATCCCAGAGACCAGGCAATTCTATGTGCCCCCAACCCTGGCCTCCACTATTGACATCCAGCACGGGGCAAGGGGTGCTGCACACAACAGCCTCCATAAAGATCGCCAGCCCAGACCAGCTTCTGCCATGGCCACGCAGCCCTGAGGAGCATCAGAGCCGTCCACTGGACCTGCTCTTTCCGGTCACAAGCTCTCTGGTCACCTTGGCCCCTCCGCGGAGTCATATCGCTCTAGACCAGCTTCCCACAATGCCACAGCCCACAGACTGACTCACCCAGGGTGCCTGGACGCGAGGACAGGGGAGGTGCAGGCAGAGAAGCAAGACAATGGCCAGGCCAGCTCTAAGCCAACACTGCCTCAGAACCCTACTGTGGGCCAGGCCCTAGGCTGACTTCCAGAAGGTTCTGTGGACCTCAGGCACTCACCTGTGAGATGTGGAGTGGGTGCACAGAACTCTCACCCCTTGAGAAGCATTCTAGCTCCTGCCCTGAGACACCAGGACAGACAGCCCTGCGCTCAGCCCGGGTGGACTCGTCACCCCATCCCACACGCCTCCCCGAGGTGCTTAGAAGCAACGTTGCCGCCATCACAAGGGTGACAGGACTGCGCCAAAAGGAGAAAAATAGAGAGGGCAGCTTTCCTAGGCACAAGGGTGAGACCTGTCCTCAAGGGACAGCAGCAGGGGGTGGGCTAGACACTGCAGGATCGATGGTACGGACCCCTGGAGCAGAGCAGGGTCTCACGGGGACAGCTCAGTGGAGCTGTGTGTCTCAGAAGGACAGACTGGACGCCCAAGACATCCACAGGAGCTCATCAGCCCACTCTACAGATGAGCAAGCTGAGCCCAGGAGCATGTGGGTGATAAGTTCAAGGTACAGCATAGTATCTTTCCATAACAGGTGCTATGTGTAGGCTCCTACTGTGCCTGGATTAGGGATGAAAAACTGGGCTCAGACAGGAGGCAGCTGGTCCAAGATCACACAGCTAGGACACGGATCCCAAACACAAGCTCTCTCCACCACACTGCCTCCTGATGACGAACCCATGCTGAACAGGCACCAGGCCTGGCCGGGATGAGCCTCGACAGGCTGGGATGAGCCTCGGGCGTGGCCGCATGAGCCGGGCCAGGATGAGCCTCAGGCCGGGCCAGGATGGCTGATGGCTCGACAGCTCACACCCCACCCCACCTCAGAGGCACAGTCAGCAGCCAGCACAGGCTGGGCGGAGGACAGGCATGTGGGCAGGCAGGGTGGAGACCTAAACGCACCCCTCTGTGGCCCTGGGCCCAGAACCCACCCTTGCCAGGATGGCCAGGAGGGCAGACCACAACGTGCACCTGCTCCCCACAGCACGTGTGTCTTCCATCTGTGGCGGGGGAGTGCCTCCTTCCTGTCTCCTGGGGCACCTCAGGCTGTGAGCCCACCCTAAGGCTCCACCCAAGGGCATGCCACGGGACGCCCAGACACAGGCTGAGCCCTGCTGTTACCTCGTGAAGAAGTCGCTCAGCGGCCCCAGGATCCTCAGCCTGCTCCCCTCCTCGGTGTCCTGGGCAGAGCCCTGCGGCAGTGGATCCCTGGACTCCCTGACGGAGCTCAAGGTGACATCGGTGAACTGCGGGTCATCGTCATTCTCCAGGGTCACAATGGCGCTGGAGCTGCTGGTGACCACGAGGTCCAGGATGTCCTCATTGCTAAGTGACAATGTGGCAGACAGCTCCGTGCCCAGGCTGGACACGCTGCACAGGGAGATATCATCGCTGCGGCTCAGGGCCTGGCCGCCAGTGGGGCTGTACAGCTTCACCGAGTCGTAGCCCGTCCTGGGGAAGGTGGAGGACTTGCGCACGCTCTGCTCCCGCGCGGTGCTGGCAGCGGCTGGAGGCGCACAGGACGGCAGCGGACAGGCACTCTGGAAGGGCCGCTCGGGCACAACCTCGGCCTCCGACTGCTTCCTCCTCACGGGCACCACTCTGCAGGGCACAGGCTCCGGGTTGCCGATCTCCAGGGTCGGGATGCCCGAGTCTACCGACTGCAGGCTGTGCCGGTCTTCCAAAGCACCAAGTTTCAGCTTGGGCCTGGGCTCGGGCGCCTGCAGGGTCCGAGGGCGCAGGTTCCGAAGGGAGCTTCCGGGCTGGCCATCCTGAACACCCACCGAGGCTACGCCATTGGTCGAGCTGGGAGGATGTCCATCAGTCATCTTGGTCCAGGGAGAAACTGAAACGACCCAAACACAGAACATAAAAAGCTGGTCACAAAACTCCGAGAGCCCCTCCTACAGCAGCACCAGTGCCTGCAACAACGCTCAGAGGGAACCGTGAACAGACATCCTGCGGGCTCTGTGTGGCTCTTAATCTATTTATTTGAAAGGTAGAGCTTCAGAGGGAGAGAGACTGAGACCCTCCATCCACAGGTTCACTCCTTAAATGGCCATGAAGGCTCAGCTTGGGCCAGGCCGAAGCCAGAAGCCTTTTCCAGGTCTCCCACATGGGTGGCAGCAGCCCAAGGACCTGGGCTGCTTTCCTCTGCTTGCCCAGGATACATCAGCAGGGAGCTGGGTCACAAGTGAAGCAGCCGGGACTCGAGCAGGTGCCTTTGTGAGATACCAGCACTGTAAACCGTGGCTTAACCTGCTGTGCCACACCGCCCGTTCCCATGTACAACTTGTGCTTCAGGGCCAGAGCCTGGAGTTCTGACACTATCATGAGACACACAGCAGGAAGACAGCCTGCTCTCACCCGAGCGTCGGTCTAGAGGCGCCCCCAGCCACCCCAGGAATGCCTGGTTAAATGGCACCATGAGGGAAATCGTGGTGTTTCAAGGTGGGCCCACTGGGAGGGACAGGATAGGGCAAGGCTGCTGGGGGTTGCGGGGAGTTCCTGGGTCAGTTCGGGGTGGCTTTAAAAGGGAGAGGTGAAGACAGATGCAAACATGTGCTCTTGGGTGGCTTTGGGACTCTGTCTGCAGGAACGCCAGCAGGTGCAAGGCCCGAGGGGACTGGCCCACCTCAGTCTGTGGATCTCTAAGCCCACGGGCCACAACAAGCCACCTTCCTTAAGAGACCAGCCAGGAGTCCTAGTGTGGTCATGAAGAACTGACAGACACATAGCCAGACAACGGGCACATCCAGCATGAAAATAACCTCCATCATTTGGGGCATCCCCCCCAGTCACGGCTGACGGGCAGACAGCAGCAGGGGCGCGAGGAAGACCCCTGGGGGGGCGCTGCTCGGGCCTCGTCCAGGGGAGGCATTACATGATACACACACAGCCCTGCCCCAAGCATGTGAATTCACAATGCATTCACTGCATTCCACGGCTCTGACACCTATAAACTAAGGCAGCTGTGTAAGGGGAAAACAAACAAAACAACCATGCACGCCAGGCAGGGAGGGGGCCCACATGGACCAGGCCTTCCTCACATCTGAGTGCAGCCACACCACCCCCTCTGCACGCAGGGAGGTGTGGAACCGGACCAAGGTCGCACTGCCGCTCAGCACCACGACCCAGGAAGTATGACGCAGTCCATGCTTAGGTAAATACAGCCAGTAAAAAGGCTGGCTTGGCCAGCACAAAATCCAATCAAGGAGCGATAAACTGAGAGCTTCCCAAAGGGAAAACTCCCCCTACACACACACGTCCCCAGAGCTGCTTCTGCACTGCGCGGCCTGCCACGGAGACCCAGCAGCCTGGACAGCTCCCAGAACAGAGAAGACCCCGCTGGATGCCACACTGGCTTTTGTTCTCTAAAATGTTGAAACTAAAGAGATCCGCCGTCCACAGAGCAGCACGTCAGGGCAAGACAGGACTTTGAATGGCAATCCCGGCCCCACTGTCCAGGAAGCCTGGAGATAACACGCCCTGACCAGACGCTGCTGTCCTGTCCCCCAGCCCCTCCCCGGGGCAGGGCGAGGCGGGGGCACCCTGCTGGCAGGTGCCACTCTGAATCAGCACAAACATGACCATTCCCGTGGTGTGTGGTTTGGGCTTTGTCTGGAGCCTTCCTGCTCCCTCTCCAGGAAGCCTGGCGGGCCTCTCACGGAGCAGAAAAAGGGGGGCAAGGAGGCTCCTTCCGCCCCAGAAACGGGTGCAGTCAGCGAGTTGGCAGGGCAGGCACCAGAGCAGAAACAGAATGCAGAGGGGATGAGAGAAAGGCAGAAACAGAACTGAGCTATAAATGTGCAAACTATATATACACATAATATATATGTGTGTGTGAGTTTGAAATAGGACACAGCATTATTATAATCACCATTTTTTCTAAGAAGCAAAAATAATATTGTATATCAACAAAGCAAAAATTAAGTCCAGACAACCAGGGTTAACACAAAAGTGAAAAAGAACAAACTATTCCTCTACCCATGGAGAAAAAAACCCAAAATTCAGTTCCTCCTCACTGGTGGACAGCCTCCAGCGAGCCCCTGCCACAGCGCGGCACGGGCCCCATGCCAGCGACTGACCCTCCAGCCACCACACTCTGACAAGGGGGACAGGCCTCACTGGTGGACGGCCTCCAGGGACTTGAGAAGGCCATACGCACACACATGCATCTGAGAGGTCAACTGCATTTGTATTAAAAGGAAAATAGCTTGAGCACATGGCTACGGGCTAATCTTTGCCGATTAGCAGCCTCCCACCAACACACCACAGACCCAACCGGCAAGGGTGAAGCCGATGGCCCTGCGGCTGCCTGGCCCGGCTCGGGGGAGGGTCTCACTGCCCCTCCCAGAAGCAGAAGGAGGTGAATGGCAGCTCACTCGTGGGCTGGTCTCGGGTGAAAGGCACAAGCTTGGCAGACGCCCACCAGGCCGGCACCTGGTACGTGGCACACCGTGGAGAGGTGGCGTGGCCCCCCAGGAGCCCTGACACAGGAGTGCCCTAACAAGTCACCTTCCTAAGAAATGCAAATGCCGACTTCCATCACCAGGGGCGCACTGAGGACCCCTTCGTGGGGAGCACAGAGCGGCCTCCTTCTGAGCCGCCCGAGGAGAAGCTGGGCCACCGCCGGGCCTCTGCGGTCCAAAGTGCAGTTGAGTTCCTTAAACCTCAGAAGAGGGCGTGGGCCTTGGGGGAAGCCAGCCTGAAAGGGAAAGGGCACTTCCGCTTGCAACGTGCTCTGGAACCACACTCCAGCAGGGACACCTGTCCTCAGGCCTCTCTGCCTGGGGCCAGCTGGGCCAGCAAGCTGGAAGCCGCACCTGCCTTTGGCCTGCACCCTCACGGGGGAGACCCTAACCTGCATGGACCAGGTGGACGGCCTCCGGATCACCAGCTCCTTTCAGCCACACTAAGCCTGTGCTTGCTGAGCACACAGGGGGCCTCCAGGTCACCTGACCACCTCCTGACTGGCCAGCGTCATCACCTTGGCCACAGCCAGCAGTGCCTTCCCCAGCAGGGGGCCTCTCCCTGCTAGGAGCCACCTCCTCTCCCAGGCAGGCTGCCCAGAGCCACACCCCATCCTCCCTCAGCAGTGCCAACACCTTCTGCACTGCCACGCATGGGGCACGGATCAAGGATTCAAAAGGCTCTTTGCTGAGTTTCAGCAACAACTAAGCCCTTAGGGTGCAGGGTACAGGAACAGCCCCTTGCCAGACCAAATGCCAGGGCCTGAGCTGCCACACCAAGTGCCAGGACCTGGGCTGCCATGCCAAGTGCCAGGGCCTGGGCTGCCACGCCAAGTGCCGGGGCCTGGGCTGCCACGCCAAGTGCCGGGTCCTGGGCTGCCACGCCAAGTGCCGGGGCCTGGGCTGCCAAGCCAAGTGCCAGGGGCCTGGGCTGCCACGCCAAGTGCCGGGGCCTGGGCTGCCACGCCAAGTGCCGGGGCCTGGGCTGCCACGCCAAGTTCCAGGGCCTGGGCTGCCATGCCAAACTCCTGGGCTGTGTGAGGCCCACAGGTACCAGCACGGTGCCAAGGACCAGGCCCCCACGGGCCAGCAACACTGGCACCATGGGCAGAAGCCACTGCTGCAGCCAGCACCCAAGGGCCCCGGCACCCCGCCAGGAGGCACCCACTCCCAGCTGAGTGAGGGTCAGTCATCCCGGCACAGGACAAGCTCAGTGTGGATAAGCAGAAGCACTCTCCACGCACACAGCGTCGAGGCCACGTGGATGGCGGCAGGAAGCTGGGGGAGAGCGCCCCCAGAGACCAGCCGCAGCCCGCAGGGTCCCATTCCCAGTGTGACACCATGTCAGCCAGCGGACAGCGGCGCTGCCAGGGGACGGGATGGGGCTTGTGGCCACGAGTCTGCTGGCAGAGCTGTGGGACTTGGTCATACAGCCTTCCCACTTTAAGGGAGACCAGACCCAACATTGGAGCTATGTCCTCTTCCGGGCCGCCTGTGGGGACACAGGAGCTGCGTCCACTCTGGGTCCTCCTTCACCTGCCACCCACAGGCCACGGTCCCGGGCAGCCCACCACGCGGCACTCGACAAGAGCTGCACCCCAATGATGAGGGAAAGGGGGCGGACAGCCGCTGCTGTTCCCTAAGATCACGGACTCTTCCTCGTGCGGCCTTCCCTCAGCCCTGGCCTGCTGCTGACCACCACGTCAGCACCCAGAATGGTAACATGCACAACTCAACCATGGCCTCAGGGAGTGTACGTGAGGAGCCGAGGGCTCGGAGGGCAGGACCAGGCCGGTGCCATCTGACACGGGCTCAGAGCAGCCTCACTTCTTAGGATGAGTGCACGAGTGCCAGGCTCCTGCTCACTGTCCCCGACACCCACTCACTGCCCCCAACTCAAACGTCCCACTCGCTGCATGGCCCTTCAGCAACCCTGGGAGCTGCCAGTTAGAGCTGGCTCAACCCCAGCCCCTCTTAGCCTGGCTATTTACAAAGCCGCCCACAGCCACCAGGCCCTGCCCCAGCCGTGCTCACACACCTGGCCACAAGACCCACCCAGATGTAATCCCACAACCAGCAGGGTCACGGGTGGGCACTGTCCCCAGCCCCACAACCAGCGGGGTCGCAGGTGGGCACTGTCCGCAGCCCCATGACCAGCAGGGTCACGGGTGGGCACAGTCCCCAGCCCCACAACCAGCGGGGTCGCAGGTGGGCACTGTCCCCAGCCCCATGACCAGCAGGGTCATGGGTGGGCACTGTCTCCAGCCCCATGACCAGCGGGGTCGGAGGTCAGCACTGTCCCCAGCCCCACAACGGTCTCCCTAAAGAGCACTTAATGTTTTGGGGACGAGGACTCTGGCAGCCACCACTGGGCTGTCTGCGTGGGACAAGGCAGGATGGCTCAGGAGAGAGGCCAGCAGAGTGTGTGGAGGAGGGCTGGACGCCAGGGAGGGTCCACAGGCTTGAGGCACCTCCTGCACTCCGCGCCTGCTCCCCCACCACGTAGCCCGGATGGAGGCGCGGGGGGTGGGCAGATCTTGGAACCTGCCTCTGTGAAACCCACGGGACACACCAGGGACCACTACACAGGCAGCCAGGGGACAGTATGGGGTCATGTGGTGTGCAAGGCTAGTCGCACTGCCCCGGCTGAGTCCTCCGCACCAGGGACAGCAGGTAAAGCAAGTACAACAGCAGCTGGGCTCCTGAACGGGTTATAATCCAAAGCATTTTGTTTGTTTTTTCTACAAACTTAGGATGGTCGCCCCTGGCATTTACCAGGGTGAGACACTTGAGAACTGGGGTTGAACTTAGCAAGCTGGGGTGCCCGCCCAACCCCCAGAACAGTGACTTTTCACTTCTGCTGTGCTTAGAAGACTCCAGGGTGAACAGTGGGCAAAGACGTTCCTCCCCCAAATACCTTAGCCTTTACCGAAGCTGACTCGGGCACAAACAGCATGGCTCCAACAGCCCAGAGCCCACGGTGAATCCGGCAGACCCTGCTTGCCAGGGCACTCGGCCCGAGCAGGACCAGAGATGCCCCAAAACGCCTCCAGCCTGGGCCCTGGCACAAGCTGAGCCCGGCTGCGGGCTGCTCTTATCTGCTGGGCCCCAAATAGGGACAGCCAACGCAGCCCCCTGTTTTAGCAACCCATTTGCATAAGCACACTTGAGCGTGCCACGGTCTCACAGCATGGCTTCCCCTGCCACCAGCCTCACTCGCATGGACTGGGAGGTGCCAGGCCGCGACCTCCCTCTCCCCACTTAATGAGCTGGCAGGGGAGCCAGGCCAAGGGGCCAGGGGCACCCCTCAGGGCAACAGTCAGCAGCTGGACGCAAGCTGAGCCCGAAACACGATCCTCAGACAGCCCTGAGTTCACGTGTGCTTTCCTGAAGTCCTTCCTGCCCAGCACCCACTGCTGTCCCGTGGACGGCAGACCCTCGCCAGGGTCCCAGACCTGGGGGATGACAGGGAGACACCCCCTGTGACGCACAGGGCTCGGGGAGTCGTGTCCTCACTTCTACTGGGCCTCAACAGACCACATGGGGGTGGGGGGGGTCCCCAGAAGGCAGAGGAGGGCAGAGGCCCAGCCACAGGTAGGCACCCCAACACCAGGAGTATGGCTGAGAGCAGAGGGGAAGCCTGGCAGGGAGAGGTGTGGGGGAGCACAGAGGAGGGGGTGCAGGGGAGGGGTGCAGAGGAAGGGGGAGGGGTGCAGGGAGCCAATGCAGGGCTGGGGGGGAAGAGCCGAGTGCTGAGTGCGGAAGGATGAGGAAGGGTCGCAGTGAGGGCCCCACCTCTGCCTCTTGGACCCCTGCTCCCCTCCGGCAGTGCTTGTGAAAGGGGGTACCCACCGATGACCCAGAGCACCCAGCACCTGCCAGGCTCCCCACACACTGTCGGGGTCACCCCCAGGAAGAGCTCGGGGAGGGGCACGGAGGCGGCCCAGGTCACGGAGCAGGTCTCCTCGGAACCAGCTGGACCGGGCAACGCTGTTCCAGACCGGTGATCGCACAGTCCAGCGCCTGCCAGTGCCCAGCCCGAGGGCCAGCGAGAGCCTCACCGCAGGCAGGGCACCTGTGCGAGCTCAGCTTCCACGCCACACTGGAGGAACAAACATGGCCCACGCAACTTTCATCTCAGAACGTTTTGGGGGGCCTGGCCGAGACATGGTCATGAACACACCCACCGCCAGGGGCTCACCCGGGCTCCACCTCACAGCCCATTCCCGGACTGAGGTCCTCACCGCCGTCGTGGAAGCCCACCTGTCTCCCACGGGGCGTCTGAGGGCAGAGTTCCAGACCCGACCCACACCAGGGCCCCGCGTCAGAGGGGTAAAACTTTTCCCTAAGTCCCGCACGCACAGCCGACGCGGGAGCAAGCCGTCGCCCCGCAGGGCGCCCTGACGCGCACCTGAGCACTGCCCACACGCACCCGCCAGGCCGCCTCCCCCGCCGGCGCGGCAGCAGGTGGCCCAGGCCCCGTGCACCTCGGCGCTCCCTACCGCAGTCAGCTCGGCTCCGACGCCATCCCGGGGCCCGCGGGCCACCAAGCCCCAGGCCCGCCCCGGGAGCCGCCACTCGCGCGAGGAGACCCCGGCGAGCCGGGCAGGTGTCGGTCCGGCCGGCAGGCGCGCGCTAGCCGCCCACAGCGCTCGGGGCCCAAAGGCCGCCCCGTCCCTAGCCCCGCCCCCGGAGCTGGCCCCGCCCACCACCGGGCGCTAGCCACGCCCCAGGACCGTCCCGTCCCGCCCACCCTCAGGCGCTAGCCACGCCCCAGGGCAGCCGCCCCGCCCTCAGGCGCTAGCCCCGCCCCAGGACCGTCCCGCCCCGCCCTCAGGCGCTAGCCACGCCCCAGGGTAGCCGCCCCGCCCTCAGGCACTAGCCCCGCCCCAGGAACGTCCCGCCCCGCCCCCGGGCGCGCTGGCCACACCCCCGCCCCACCGCCCGCGGTCGGCTCTTCCGCCCGGGCCACCGCCCCCCGCCGCGCCTCCGCTCGCTGCGCTCGACGCTCGCCCGGCGGCCCCTCCTCCTGCCCGCCGGTGCGTCGCCGCCCGCGGTCGTCGCCGACCCTCTTCGGTCCCCAGGGCCGAGCAGAGCTGCGAGGAGGCGGCCCTCACGGCGCGGAGGCTGCGTCTCCTCAGGGCCCCGCGGACACCCACCAGGGGTCCCCTACCTGCTCGGCTCCACCCGCGGCCATCTTGGAAGTGGGAAGCGGCCGGGAGGGGGCAGGTGGCTCGAGCCGGCGGGGAGCAGGCGTGGGGAGCCGAGCGGCGGAGCGCATCGATGGGGCGGCGGGCGCGCCGGTGCG